CGACCTCCGTGATTGACAAGGCCGGAGGCTTTGAGCAGTTTAGGAATGAGCTCATGAGGATCCAGAGAGTCCTGGATTCTCCGGCGCTGGTCGACCTTGGTAAGGTCGATCTGGACGCTCTGGGCGAGCCGCCCAAGGAGTACGTCTCGGATGAAGATCACGAGAGTCATGTAGATGATGATGGGATGGGCCCATATGTGGACAAATTCTCATCAATGGGTGACCGAGACCTAGTGCCCTCAAAGCAGGAGCCGCCTTACTATGAGGCAAAGGCGTGGCGCACCACTGAAGAGGAATTGAGAGGATGAAGAACCTTTTTCCACACTTTCGCGCCGAAAATTATCGGCTTATGTCAGCGAGTACTGGTTCCATAGGTACCAAGTCGCATGTGCAGGGCGTCCTCCCAGCAGGTGCATCGTTAGAAGAGGCACTGACGGCAAAGCCCGGTGTGTGCCCGATCACGAGCACATACAACCTCACATACGAGGGTGAGGAGATTATGATTGATGCGCAGAGCGGGATAGCAGGCAGAATCGCCTGTCCTGCCGGTAATGACATCTTCCATTTTTTCCCCGAGATTAGGGATGTGTCGGCGTTTATTGGACGAAGCTCCAGGGAATCGCAAATGCTGCTAGAAGTTTTGTCGGGCAACACTGACCCAACGCGGTTAAACGTGAAGCCCGGTGAGCAGCCCCCCTTCTTGTTTGGGACGGTTCCAGACATTCTGGGAGGTTGGATGTCAATGACACTGATATCAACGCTACTTGAGGCCCTATACGGGATCCACAAGTGCACGAGTGTCGAGGTAGCGACCTGGGCGGGTGCTCTCGCAAAGGAGAACCCATCGTACCCTCCAGTCGAGCTCCTAATACGGAAGGTCTGGAGGACAGATGGCACGTCTGAGCGCCCGAATGAGGTGCTCTTTGCGCGGTCCACCCTAATCGGGAGGGACGTGCCGTTCAAAGTTTTCACTGCGTGACCGAACGCCAATGGGGCCTTTGCTCAGGCCGATGGTAGCAGCGGAAGTCCCTTATACGGGATACGTGCTGCTGACGATGGCCGAGTATCGGTCCGCCCTCAAAACGAGGTGCATCCGGAGGCCAGACAAATTCGCCATCACGGTTTTTCCCATGCGACCTGAGCAGGTCTGCAGGGGGGAGATCATGATTGGGATGGAGGGCGCAAAGGTGCCTCTCCTCAAGTTGCCCAGCCCCAATAATGAGGGCGTATTTTATGTTGACGATCGCGTCAAATACATGGACAAGCGCCATGTCGTTGTGGCCGTTGACCTAAAGTGGATGGCCATCGAGGAGGCCGCCGGCATCTATAAAACCCGACGCGGTTTGATTGCCGTGCGGGAAGAGATACATGCACCCTTCTGGCGCGCATGCTATCTGCACCAGGAAGGGGATGTAATATACATCCGTCCCTGGGCGGTCCGTGAGTTGAATGTTCAGGGACCGCGGAGAGGGGTGTCATTTTCATGGGACAAAGCTCCCATGCATGACTACTGGTGCCCTCGGTGCGCGCATTTGAACATGTATGGCACCATTCTATGCAATGGTTGCCATTTGCCGATTTTCTATCGAGAGTGGGTGCCAGGCACCATCCGCTCCCAAGTTAGGAGAGGGCAACCAGTCTGGTTGGACGGACTCAAGGCAGTCCGTGCCAGCAGCTGGTATGAAGGGGAGACCGACGTGTGGGCCCCTCTCATGGCATCAAACGATCCGCGAGGTGGTCAGTGTATGATCACCGGTTTGCGATCTTGTGCACGTTCCCAACGCGGACATTGTGCAAGTTGCGAGGAGGTTGCAAAGGTGGACACTCACGCTTGTGTGCGGGCGAGCTCTCGAGCGGTGGGTAGCGAAACAGCTGCTCATCGAGGAGAGCAACACTGGCGTCTCGATTCCCGACAATATGTCTGTCTTGGCATATTTGATCGAGCACCCGCAACAGGCGGCGCAATGGGGTCGTCATATGACGAGAAAGGGCAGTCTAAATTCAGCATTTGCCCTTTACCTCTCTGTGCATATCTTTGATGCCTACCGCATCGGGATTGAGGACGGGTATTTGGTTCCGCTGTATGGCCTAGGCGCCTCACGCGCGGACATCATAATGTCATTGGTACAGGCTGAGCGACGCCTCACGGACTTCAATACTGAAGATCCGAGTTTCGATGCTTCCACTGTTCTTGATTGGAGTATCGACTCTTTGCGGGCCGGTGGTGGATCCATCACGGCCCCAATTGAGTATGCTGAGGCATACATTTATGTCGAAGACAACAAGGTTGACATGGTCCCCGCTTCGCGGCGCGACGGCCAATGCGCCATTGTTTTTGCTGACCCGCCGGTTGGGAAGCACCACAGGCGGGCAGCCACTCCTAGGGGAGACCAGCGGTCTGCTACCCCGCGACCTGAATCCAGGTCAAAGGGTGATCAGCAAAAGGGCAAAGCCCCTGCGCAATCATGGCCCAAGGGCGGAGGTCACAAGGGTGACCAGTTCCCAGGAAAGGGTCACAAAGGTGATCAGTACAAAGGCAAGGGTGGCCAATACGGCTACCAACAAGGGCAGTTCGGTCGTGGCGGATCCGCCAGATCGAGAACTCCCACTGGCGGGTATCAGCCTGATGCTCGCGGGTCGGGATACAAGGGTGCTCAGGCAGCCCCTTTCCCGTTCCCAAGTCCGATGTACCCCGCTTTCCCAATGGGAGGGTACATGCAACAGCCAATGGCTGGCATGATGCCGCAAATGTGGCCTGGCGCAATGCCGCAGGGTTGGCAGCCGCACATGCAGGGTGATCCCCGCGAGTTCGAGAATCCGAGCTCGCCGCATACCCCTACCTGGGGTGCGGATGATGAGTTGGCCGAGACCGTGCCTCCTCCTCCTGGGGACTGGAACGTCAACAAGGGGAGGGGACGGCACGGCGGCGGACGACATCGGTGATACCTGATGTTCGTCTGCATCCTTTGCGTGGCGGCGCCAACGCGCGCGTGCTTTCATTCCGGAATTCACATAATGGACTATGCTCCTTGTAGTATTTCTGTGTTTGGGCTATTCGCCATTTCGGAATTCAACTGCATGCGCAGCTGTGCGCTATTCGCGCAGGCAGCGATTACCTGCCAGGTGTATGTCGCCGAAGCAAGGAAGTCATCCTCGGCGGCGTCTATGGCCGCTGGTGATCTGCTTTCTCCAGCACCGCTGCTGCTGCTGGTGATGGAGCTCATCAAGGTGCTGTGGTGAGGATCACGGATGCGCTGCACCGCTGCCGGTGAGGTCCTATTCGGACCTGAACCGCTGATTGCAGCTGGTGGTGTTCCTACCGAAGGTCTTTGCGTGATCGCGCGCCTAGACGGTGCCAATTTAAAGACCGTGGTCTTGTGGTCGAAGCACCACGTTTCAACCAGTGGGCCAATGCGCCTAAATCATGAATTCAGGAAATAAATCCACTCGAACCTTACGGTTCGATGTGGTTGCAGTGCAAATGTATTTTTATTTCATGCCTGCCATTCTGGAGTTTAATCTTTGTTTCTGTTTCTTTTTGCTTTCTCTTGTTTGATTTGGCTACCGGCGCGAATCCGCCCTATACCCGTAATTCGGGGTGGTGGCGGGATCCGGGCACCAATGAGTGCCCGGGTATGGGGCCGCGAACCCTGGTAGCCTAATCGGCTCTGTTTTCTTGTTTTTGCTTTTCAACTTCAACATGGCCAATGCGCCCTTCCAAATTCACTTCCGAATTCCTCTCTTTGTACAGGCGAGGGGGGTGTTTTTGGGGGCATGTACGTTTATCATAGCATGTTTGATCATTGCCATGGCCAATGCGCCATTTGGCTCAAGCTTTTGCATTCGGCGAACATAGCCTGCTGTCTCGTCGGGGAAAAGTCCGCGGCGCTCTGCACGCCGGCCGCACGACGTCGCGGCCGTCGTTGCTGGGGCGGTGGCTTTCGCCCCGGAGGTGGGTCGGGCTGGTGTTTGGAGTGCGCGGCTATTGCTTGCTTTGCTCGCTTGGTGCTGCTTGCTGCTGGTTTGCTTGCCTGCTTTGCGCTGTGCTGCGCTTCTGCTTGGTTCCTTCTTGTTACAACGAGGCACCCCTTTTGGTTCGTGTTAGTGCCGGCCGGGGGCAACTGCTTTGCCCTTGGGACCGGGGGGATAAGGTGGTCTCTTCTTGTTGGTGGGTTAGGGCCTGTTTTATCCATCCCGAAACTCTGTTTCAAACCCTTTCGCAATTTCTATTGACCATCTTTGTTTCCTTTGCCCACTTGGCGTCCATTTGGTTTCCGTTTGGTTTTCATTCGGTTTCCATTTGGCTACACTCATTGGTGTATTGGGGTGTGACTTTTGACAGCCTAGGGAGTGCCGCTAGTTTTCAGATGTTGCGATTTTCGTGGCTCTGAAAGACCAGGCCAGCAGGAAATGCAAAGCTCATACTTTTGCCAATCCACTCAGGAAGCGAGAAAAAGCGAACAAACGTAACTAACCAACAAGCCATCAAGCTAACCAGCTAACGGCAGAACGCCACAGAACCACCGTCAGATTCATGAGGTTCAAGCATCTTGGTGTCCTGTGAAGGATCGAAAGAGCTGAAACAAACAAATCTGGTCGTCCGAAACCCTTCACCCATTGGGTGCGGGGTCGCTCCGATCGCCGAGCCGCGCGCGCGCGCGCCAATAGATTACCAGTGACCAAGTTGCAAGCGAACGCGGAAAACAAGAGTTATAACTAGTTGTAACTACTGAGCACTTACCCATTCAAAAAAGGACTTCAACAGCCATATTTGTGGGTTTTATGGGAATTTTGAGAATGGCCTTAGCTGCCAAAGCGAATCGACCTTTTGACCTGTTGGTTTTCCTTGTTGAATCTATTTTTGATCAAGGTACCCAAAGGTTAATATCATGTATTTCCAGGTCCTTTGGGCAACTGAGTGGACAATCCTGGCTACCCAACAGAGGGGTTCTCCTTAGCAACGCTAGGAGATTTATGCAAGCTGCAGACAGCGCATGCAGGATGTGGCTTTGGTCAAGGCTGAGCCTATCTCTCCCCGAATGAAGCGGCCGCGGCTGAGCCTGCTACTGCCCAAGAGGCAGGTTCTGAAATTCGGGATCCCCTAAAGTGGTTGGTTTCGTGTTGGTGTTCCATCAATCTGCAAGCAGGGGTCCATGTCGAAAAACTTGGGGGGACCCCATGCGCCATGGGGCTTTGAAATTCCATTCGCATCCTCAGTGGTTGGCCATGAATCTCCACCCAACAGATGTGCCTGCCAAAGGCTTTTCAACTCAGTTGCGGTTCATACCCAAATGAGCGGAGTTGTATTGCACATGGCGTAGGCGCCGGAGCAGGCGCTTGATGCGTCATTTGATACGTCGTCAGCATTAGCTACCTAAACACAAACACTGCTTACATGCCAACCAGGGGGGTCCATGTGGGTGTGTGTTTAAAACAGGGCACCCCCCCAAAAAAAAACAATAACAACGTGGTTTCCACGTGGTTCTTTTTTCAATCAACCCGAGTTTCCATGTCCCAAATCAAACATGGGTTGCCACCGCATGCCACCCCTTTCTTTTGGGTAATTTCATTGGTGGTTCGGATTTGGATTTGAACCTGTGCTCTTACCCACTAAACCACCGCGCTCCAAACCACCGATGAGTCGGAAGCTGATCTAGGTCCCCCAGTAGTGCCCTTTTCCCCTTTTTTTGGGCAGGGTTCCCCCACTAAAATAGACCAAAAAGAATAAGAATCGGGTACCAACTTCTTCTAACCTCTTTACTGGAGGACCTAGTGCTAATCCCCCTCATGTTTTCAGGATCCGAAGGATCTCCAATTCGCATAGGCCGAAGGCGGCGAACCCAGACAGGGCGGTGGATGCGCCAGGGAGCTACGCCGCCTCTACGGAGGCCTTGTGGAACGGCAAGACTCCCCGCGCCTCGGGACGGCAGCGGCTCAAAAAAAAAGGTACCCAAAATGGCCCCTTGGTAAATGGAAACAAAGGCTAAAACCTGCGTACCCCAAGCTCTGGAAAACTTTGAGCCACATCCATTTCTTCTTTCTTTTGTTTGATCGGTTCAAAAGTGGCGATCGGTTCAATGGAAACCACCAACTGGGACTTACTGCTGCTTTGTGGACACTTGGGATTTGGAACAGGGGGAAAAACCCGTCGTGGGAGGTGGTAGGTGTCCTTTGGGTGCTAGAAAATAGATGGCGGTTTCCGGTTGACCTGGTTTCATATCGGCACCATGAACAGGAGGGCGTGTGACAGCAGAGTTTTCAACAGTCCTGAAAGGGGTTTGGGTCTCATTCTGTTCCTGATGCCAACAGGCAACCCGTGTCTGGTATGTTTGAATCAGCTGTCTGTTTGTTTGTCTGTCTGTCTGTCTCTCTGTCTGTCTGTTTGTCTGTCTGTCTGTCTGTCTGTCTGTCCAAATCATGGTCAGTTTCGCGTGTTTGACAGTAGGAATCGCGACCTGCTCTTTCCACACAGGGGCGACCTGCTCTTTCCACACAGGGGCTTACTGAGGCAACTAATGCTCTTCAAGGATCGTTTACCATATATCCTCAAACAAGTAAGCTGCCTCTAACCAGTTTGATGTTCAAAAGCTTACCTTCTCTCTTATTTATGACAACTCTACTTCCATGTGGCTTACCCCAAGCCCTAAACCCACCTACCCCAAAAACCTACCCCAAACTGACAGAGCCCCAGAAGCTCGGGTGTTCCGAGAGAGAGCACTTTTGGCTTGTAAGCAGGTGTTGATCCTCAAAGTGAATTGTGCCTTCCACTTTCACCCTGTACCCTCAATCGGTTACCCAGCTGTACGGGACCCAACCCCGCCAACCAAGCCCCAACCAAACCCGCCAACCAACCCTCCAACCCAACCAACCCCCCAACTACCATCCCCCAACCACCCCCCAACCAAACCCCCCAACCAGCCCCCCAACCAAACCCCCCCACCCACCCCCACCCCCTGAAAGCGGCGCGGCTCCAAGGCAAGGCGGCGCACCTGTCGCTGCGGGAGCTGCTGGCGGCGAAGCGCGAGGAGGCAGATGAGCCGCTGCTGCGCAGCGGAAGCTTCGGCAGGTGCGTCGGAATTCGGGGGTTCAAAGGCGGAGTCTATACGTCCATATGGCTGTGGGTCATAACCAATGGCCTGGAAATTCCAACGTGTACTTATTTCTTGTAGTTTGTGAACTTGACCTAAAATTCCCTATTTTTCCAGAAAACGCCTAAATTGATGAGTTTCTGCACTTTCGGGGCATCAGAGCACCTGGGGTTTGAAGACAGTGACCTTGCGGGATTTTTACGCCTTTTGGGCCCCGCGTGGGACGCATCCCCTTTTCAGGCGGGATTTGCGTGATGCATCAGGGCATCAAGGGATCAAGGCATCAAGCCATCATATTGCGGCGGATGCCCACATAGTAGATCTGAAGCATGACATTTCCCAGCACCAAAATGCGCAAAATCTACGCAAATTCGTGAGGACCCTTGCTACAACTGCTTGAGACCGGTATCGATGCATTTTGCCGCGCCGACTTTTGCCCGCACAACGCCCGCAAAAACCCGCACAACGCCCGCAAATCCCCGCAAACGCCCGCAAATCCCAAAATCTCCTGTTTGGGGTATATCCATTTTTTTGCAAATCAGCCTATGGCGCGGCCAATTCAACAAATTAGTGGGTGGCTACTTCAACAGATCAGCCTTGGGCGACGCCGAGGCCTCGCCCAAACTTGGAACACAATGCACAAATGCATGGGCCAGTCCCGAGTTCAGTGAGAACCGGGTGGGCTGCAGATTGATAAGGATGTTCAACAGGATGCGCGCATCAGCAGGTGTCAGTGCACAGGCGCTTGCGGGGAAGGGCGCGAGGGGCAAAAGGAACATGGCACGACTAGATTTCCTGAAGCTCGCCTAGATTTTCCAAAAATGACGAGGAATCCGTCAGAACGCCTAAACTTCGAGAACGACAAGGAATAAGTACGCAAAGGAATGTCCAGGGGTACCATTTTGGGTAGGTGCACCACCCATTTAGTCCATTTTAGTGGGGATTGGGATGTTTGCTGGGGTTACGGCTTTTGACCCATGGCCATTTGGGGGTGTCTAAAGATACGGGTCCCTCAAAATGGTGGTTTTCCTGTTGGTGTCCCGTTAATTCCACCAAACGTGGGGCACCCTCAAAAGACACCCATGTTTGAACACTTTGCCATTTGGTCCCCTTTGGTGGCTAGTGTCCAATAGGTAAGCCAGAACTGGTGGTTAACAAACAAAGATATCAGGGGTTCATACCAGGAGTTCATATGTAGAGTTATACATTCAGCCTTTAACATATTTGTTGTTGGTTTATCGGCAGGTCTGTTTGTTTGCTTTTTGCTTCAAGGAAACAAAGAGGAATACCGGGGTCCCCTACATAGCCATGTGTGGCAAAAAGACCCCTTTATTTGGGGTTGGTAGAGATGGTCATGGGGCGTTGAGAGGATTTTAGGCGTTCATGATAAGGTGTGACTACGGCATATACGACGACCGTGAAGGTTCACCAAGGGATTCCTTGTTCAGATTCTACAGTGGCTCCTTTTGATGAGTTGCCCACTAGAGATGGCCCGTAAGTTTTTTGGTTTGTGGGATTCATGTTTCCCTTTGCAGTTAGCCAAACACACGCTGTCCTTTTTTACCTGCGATTGAAACGCATATATTTTTGAATGGAGGTTCATATTCCACGAGACTTGGTCCGATTGTGGGTTGCTTGTCAGTTCGGCTGAGCCAAGCTTGGCAAATGGGGGATATGAATTCTCAGCAAGCGACACTTTTTGCATGTCATCAACCTACAAGACTCTAATACCAACCCAAAGAGACCTCAAGCTTGGACATATATGCATGGACGTGTTTCCCTTTTTTATGCTGAGTCTAGAGACATAAGAATGGTGATCAGAATCACAAAAGTCAGGGACATGTTGGCGGTTGAATTCCTCTCTTCCTAACAAACTGAGGGCACTTAGAGTTCCATTGATAGCCCCTTAGCATCACTTTGACACCTTTGAGGTGGGGTGGCGGTCGGCGAGAGAGCGGCGGGCAGCTGGCGCCCGTCAAGGAGGAGACACATTTGGCGGCGCCGGTGGGGGCTGAGACTGTTTTTGCTGAAGTGGTCTGGTTCTGCACTTGTTTTTTTCACAGCCACCTGGGGGTAAAACGAGCTCACGATGGTTGGGGCTTGGACATATTCTGGAACTTGAAGAATACTTCCAAGGAGGCGCGCCAACAAAACCGTCAACGACTAAGAACAGAACACGAGGAGGTTCCCCCTGAGGAATTGCACCTGCGGCTGTTGTCTCAGTGAAGGAAGTTGTCCGACCTGAGGACCTGAAGGACCTGAGGCTGAAGCCTGAGTGGCAAAGAGTACCAAGGGGCCCTTGACTGTACGGTGCTTAGGAGCCGCGCTCGGGTCCTGGCGCCGGCAGCCGCCGAAGCCGATCCCCTCTGACGCCGGAGGCGCCCTATCCGGCGAAGACGGAGACCCACAGCGCGGGCGGTGCTTCGGGCCAGCTCGGTCAGGCGTGGGAGTGAGAGCAGAGGTGTCATTTACTGGGTGTTTTGGTCGAAAAATCGATGGCCCTGGTTTACCTGGTGGTTGCCCCAAAAGGACGCCTATGATAGATGTCCTTTTTCCGAGAAATCGCTGGGTTTCCCTGGTAAATGGAATGCCATCCAAGCTTTTTTTTCCAGTGCCCATTTACCCTTTTTTGGGGGGAGAGTTCTCCTACTAAAATAGATTACACAAAAAAGGTACCCTTATTCTAACCTCTCCACATGAGGATCTACAGGGATTTGACAAAGTCGTGCCTCCGTTTGAGGCATTGCTTAAATTCCATGGGGGAGAGGGCTTCGAAGAAGTCGTGCCTCTTTCCGAAACGCATAGGAACTCTGCATGTTTGAAGGGATAGGCTTTTGGGAGGCATTGCAGTTGAAAATTGATATTCCGTGGGGTTTAGGATGGTTTAGGCATGTTCTATTTTATCCGCCTAGGAGCGTTTACAGTGTGTTTCGCAATCTTGAAACTTAACTTCTCTTTTGCTACAGCTGGTTCGAGTCGGCACCTTGCGCTTGAGGGGGTGCTTATTATTTGGCTGGCGTCTGTGCAGCGCTGAGCCGGTGTGCTTGAGCAGGGGTGCTTACCATTTGGCTGGCGTGTGTGCGCAGGGCTGAGCAGGCGCGCTTGAGCGGCTGGCGTTCGCAGGTGCGAAATTGAGTCAAAAAGTGGGTGCGGAAGTGGGTTGATGGGAGAGGGTGCAGAAGTGAGTGAACTTGTGGGCGCGGGTTCGGCACATGTGGGCCCAAGCTCTTCAACGGACGATCGGTGATCTCGTTTTGATCTCGTTTTGATCTCGTTTTGATCTCGTTTTTTTGCCAGGGTGGATTGCGTATGTACCTGCTTGCCTTCCAGAGAAAGAACTCCAGGACGTGGAAAAACACGGTGCAAGAGCCTGCAAAGCCCACCTATTGCGTCATTTGTTTTTAAACTCTCCTGCAACAACCTCTCGTACGCTCGGCGTTCCATTGGTTTTCATGTTCCTGCAGACGCCTCGCGGGGCTGGAAAACATGCTTTGCCATCAGTAGCGTTCCATTGTGTTTCAGTGTTGACACCTGTAATTTGGTAGCATGATCAGCTCGGTGATGTCAAGCGTTCCATGGGGATTGTTGCCGAGGCGTGACTTAGGAGTGACTTCTTGGAATCGGCGTTTACATGGGGGAACACATGGCCACACAGATAAAGGAGTGACTTAGGCATGACTTTGTCGTTTGCCTGTAGGTGTCCTTTTTCTTAAAAATCGATGAGTTCCCCCATCCAATCTTTTTTTCCAGTGCCATCTTCTTTTCCCTGCAAGCCAACCTAAAAAGGACACCTATGAATGAGAGGTGGCCTTTTGGAGGGTAGGCTCCCTCATGGAGGCTCCCAGAAGGCCACCGCAAATGGGACCAAATCTTCCAAAGGAGTTCTTGGAGCTTCCTTGGAGCTATCGCCTGGGGGAGGGTACCCTTGTGGGTCGGCAAGGGAAACTACAAGGACACCACCTATTTTGTGGGTTCCCCAGTGACAAAACCTGTTTGAGCATGAGGAGAGCTGACTTCCCTAGTGCACGTCCTAACCAAAACCAGCAAAGGGAATTCGGCATCCAACTCAAGCTTGAACAAATCCAACAAAAGCTTGCTTGAGAGGGGTTCTTTTGCGACCAGGACTTGATTTGTTTGACTCGCAGGATCCGGTCGTTCGCTGCCTCAACTTCGATGATTCGCAGCCGGCCTGGCTGCGACAGGTGCAGGCCAGCCGACTTGAGTCGTGCACCCACATGAGTCATCACCAGTCTAAACGATGGGGGCAGGTGTCTCGAGTTGAACACTGATACTTGCGCACCAAGTGGTTGCAAGCAAAGCAAAGCAATGCAAAGCAAAGCAAGCAAGGTGTCTCAGATGGTAACCGGCAGGCCAGTGGCTGATCATGCCAGGGTCTCAACGAAGCCTTCTCTGCAAACCTGTTGCGTCTCCCCCAAAAAAGTCACATATCTTGGATAATTTCCTTAGTTGTCCCAAAAGACATGGCCAAGGCAAGCGAGCCACTTGCCAGCTTCAGGGCTGAGCCAGGGGGAAATTGGCAACCTTCTCACTCACCATACAGGGAGGCAGTGAGGGAATCCTGAATGGCAACCCACAGGCACAGATACAGCACTTGATTTGGGAAGGGTCCAGGAGCCACCCGTGGCAAATCATTTGTAAGATGGGGATTTTTGTTTTTCAAGTTTTCTCCCTGAGGAAGCAAAGCCGGGGGTGTTTTCATATCAGAACTAGCTCTTCAAAAGCGGACCACCCCTCGGCCCTCGAATGAAGCCATGGGTTTTGATTGTTCCAGTAACTTCTTTCGGGGGTTGACCTTCCGGAGAAAGCGGACAAGCGAGCATAGCCTGTTCCAAGCCGACTCGCGATGGCCGTTCTGCAGTTTCGAGTGTTTATTTGCTTGCATGTGGCTTTGTTTGGAAACAGTGGCGCCCCTATGGTCAGTGTCCATTGACCCATGAAAGAGGCCTGCAAGACAGCAATGGGCTCTTGACAGGCGCTGCATGGTTCGAAGAGTGCAGCAGGACTGGGGGACGGTGAGAATGAGTGGGCCCCTTGTCCAGCCCGACCATCAACCCGCCAAGAATTAGCATGCAAATAAGACTGCGACAGTCAATGGCTAGATTGGTGAGAGATGCACGTTGATTGTCTAAAAACTGGTCAGGAGTGCCCCTTGTACCAAGGGCGCTGGGCAAAATAGGGTGTTGTTCATTCATTGATTCCTTTGATCAGTGTTTCGGGGCCCTTGGAAGACTGCTCCTCAAGGCACCTGCCAACGAGTTCCGAAGATACTGGGGCAGAGGGGAAAAACGTGGTAGGTGTGTGTGTGTGTGCGTTGCTCAGTTCTTCAAAACTTTGGGTTTCCCATTTTGGACCGTGTTTCTGCAAGGTCCCAACCACCTTCTGTTTCCAGATCCTTTGGGGAACCCCCAAAACCTTGCTGGTGCTGAGTAGGAAATGAGGGGGCTGAACCTGGGGATTCCCTTAAAGGCAACCACTAGTTGGATGGTTGATTTTGGGTCATTCCATTTTTCATTCCCTGCCTATCGCACCGGCAAGTCAAAGGTGCTGCCTTTTGGCAAGGGGAAAGGACTCCATGCAACAAAAAGGAGTTCTTTCCCCCACTGGCTGGAGTACTCAACTGGAAATGAGCAAGCCAATGTCAGCTCCGAGTCCTCTGGCGTGTCTTTCTTCAAAAATATATATATATATATAAAAGGCAGTTTTCTTTTGGGTTTCGGGCTACTTGAAGTAAGTCGACCTCTGGTTTTTCCTTTTGGTTTTCTAGCCAGTCGACCTCTGCAGGCGGTTCATAGAGTCGCAGCAACTTCCCCGAAACTGAACGTCTTCAGGCCAGCAGGGCCGCCCGAGCTTCGGCGAGCTGCCCACGCCCTGCCGGGACCGACGGCAAAGCCTGTCACCAGGCGGACCCATTTTGAAATCTCGGTCTTGGCCACAAAGAACGCCCATGTTGGGGTCACACATATTATATATATATATATTATACCCTCGCACTGACTAACATGGAAGTGCACAGACTCCTGTAGAAAGACTGCTTTCCTCTTGGAAAGGGGGGTTGTGCACTTCCATGTTAGTTGGTGGGAGGGTACATATATATATATATATGTACTAACACACATGAATTTTGAAGGTGTAGTCGCCCATGTTGGGATCACATACCCAGCTTCTGAATCTATGAACCTGGGTGTGTTGTGCAGATTGCCGCAGAGCCCCATCCATTTTGGTGTCCCCTGGTTTAAAGACACATACCCAGCAAGCTCAATCTATGAGCAACCATGCTTATATTTGGGTGTGTCCTTTTTTGAGGGTACCCTTTTTGAAGGCTTTAAAGAAAAAACATACCAAACATGACAACTACCAGACAACCACATAGTGTGGATGGCTTGAAGTATTTTTTCAGCCTCTTCGGATGGCTTTAAGTATTTAACCCTGTTCTTCGGGAGGTCCCCCAAGCTTGAAACCACCTGAACCCTCAAAATGTCCCTAAAACATGCGTAATAGACCCACAATTATTGGGTAAAATCCTGTTTTTTATGGGTTTGAGAGTTCGGGCACATAAATATTTATATATATTGTATATATATATATATATATTTAAGTCGAGCAAGGGGGAGGGCACGCGCAGGCAAAGCCGCGGGCACCCCGCCCACGGAGCCGGAGTCCCCCACCGAGCCTGGGTCTCCGGAGGCGAGAAATCGGGGGACGAGGGGGCAGGGGTTCCCAGACCAACATTTTTTGGGGGAAACAACACGTTCATTTGGGTTTTTTGTTGCGGGCGTCCCTTGAAAATGACTTGGGTGGGGCTACGAAGAGTCAGCAACTCAAAAAGGTAATTTCTACCAGGATCACTGGGTTGGGTTTTGTTGTCCAAAGGGAACAAGGAAACCGGCCGGAAGTTCAATGACCGGCTGGCTTGCAGAGGTCCCCAAGAGTAACATGTGCCAGTTTCGGAAGTTTTCCAAGCTGGCTTTAGATGGTGTTCAGAGGTGCCAGGATGTTAATGACCCCATGTGTTTGCACCAGCCTAGAAACGTAATATTATTGGTGTCGCTTAGTGCTGCTTTGTTGTTGTTCTCGATAATCTTAATACCTCAAAGCAGGCCTTTTTGAAGTCCCAACCCTTCCAGTGGCGATCCCGACCTCTCCAATGGAGGGTCCACTGACAGCTAAATTAGAGTGGTGTCTCAAGAGTCTTGCTGACCAAGGTTGACAGGTTCAGTGCTTACCTGCGCGAGGCATCCTAGTTGCACTTGAATAGTCACATGCGGGGGGGGGGGCCTTCCAAGGATACTAAATGCCAAAGCTACTAGGGAGTGAACGCATATTATTATTTTTCGCATTCCAAGGTTACTGGCGCGCCTAGAACCATTTTGGGTCATTCAGGCGCGGGTCACTTTGAACCCAGGGCGCACAGCCAGGCACCTACGAACATCTCCCAGCCAGCCAGGGAGGCGGTTGATCACGAACGCCCGGAGGACTCGCCAGACTTTCAGCATGGTTGGCCACATCTTTGTGCCCTTTTGGATGTACTTCATGTTCGCTTTAAACAAAAATAAACATGTTCCCTTCTAGCAAGTGACAACTTTGGCGAGTCGGATCCGTCCGTCTAAGGACGAAGACGAGGATGAAGAGTCAGAAGAGCACGGCCAGCCGGAGCGCGAAGTGTCAGGGCGGACGCATGAGAATCAGGCGCATCTGGTCGGGGGCTTTTGACCTCCAGTGGGTTGATGTTCTAGTTCTTGTTTGTTTTGGCGGGGTCTCTCTTAAAACTCAACTGCCAACAGCCCAGAGTGCCCTCCTTTTTTCCCACAGCCATCGAGGGTACAGGTTCAACGCACAGACAAAGCTGCAAGACTTGAAGTGGAATTGGGCACCGGTTTGAGCAGTGGTTGCACATCGCGACCTCGCCGACCGAATTTTCTGGAGGCAGAGGCAACCTTTGCCAAGACCTCAGCTCGAGCAGAGGCGCGGGTGGAGGTTTTCGAGTTGAAACTACTCTTCTTGCAGATGGACATGGAAGCCACAAGAGAGTCCCTTCCATGTTATATGTAGTGGATGGGAGGGTAATGCCGGCCAATTTGGGACGTTTGCCGCGTGACTGTGGATAGGCACTGGCCCGGAAACTGCATGGATTCGATGCTTGAAGAAAAACGTAGGCGCAGAGAATCAACGCGGGACCTTTAAAGGCGCATGCGCCGCAACGGGAACGCTGAAAAAATCGAGGCGAACGCAGATGGCGCAAAATCCAGCTCGTTTAGTGTTTGTTCTTGTTTGTTTTTTTCCTTTTGCGGTCTCTTTGGGCATTTACAGGGACTTATTTTGAGATTGTGTTGCTCGCCAAACCTGCACCAGAATCTCCTATGTTTTGTGGTATAGCAAGAAAAACCGTTTACTGACCAACTTGACCCGAGAATCAAACCAGGTGGATGCCAGCGGTCACCTGTGTGCACATTTGCTGGGCCCTGATACGGAGTCCGATGAGGAGTTGGATCAAAATGCTGCCGTAGCTTTGTCTGCAGGGAGCAATAGCCCGGGGTAGGTGGAAGAAGACATTCTTCGAGCTGAGACCCACATATATATATATATATATGTATGCCATGGCTTTATTTGCATCTAGTGTCAGCACTGGTGGAATTTTACAATGTGGAACATGTCTCATTTTCTGCCAGCTTGTGACATCGCCACCATCAAACATGATGCAACCACAAATAGTGTGTGTTTTTGTTTATTGATAAAAACAAAAAGTCTTCTCTGGGTGGCTTTCAGGGGAAACTTAGGGGAACACCACTATGTTGGGGGTCTCATATTTCTAGCCAGGCTGAATTGGGGGAGGCCGTGCTGTTGCTGAAAGACGGGCCCAAAAGGCAAAAGGAACCGAAAAGCCGGCTGCAAAGACTTATACTATAACCTTGAATTTCAACGGGGCCGAAACTGGTTGCACCAAATCTTCATGTAGCTCATGCCCACCAAAGGGTCCACAAACAAAATTCGTACCCTCCCTATGCTCCCAGTTAGCACTCTAGTAGGTAACCATGGACTCGAAAGCGTCTAGGTTTTGCATGATGTTTTCCCCGCGTTACGCTGTAGTGGCTTGCCTGGAAGCACTGGACAAACAAATCGCTCGGAGGCATGCAGGAACATCTCCCCGGCCCCAGCCACGGTCGCTGCAAATGCAGAGGCTGGGCTGCTTAGGGGTTGCCCATGCTTCCCCTTTTTGGTGGTTTAAAACATTGGTTGGCCATCTAAGCTTTTTTTGGTAGGGTTGTGCTTTAAGGGGGAGGAACAGTGTTGGAAACCAAGTCTTTGTACAATGGCGGATGGACTGGCGTGTGATTTCCCTGGTGGTGTCCGAACACGGATTGCAGATGCGGAATTAGGGACCCCCCAGTTTAGTTTGTACAACCCAGAGAGGATGCAGAAGATGCGGAAGACGAAGATACAGAAGATGCGGAAGACGCAGAGAATGCCGAGGATGGGGAGCCTGCAGAAAATGAGAGGCCTACCGATGCAGCGGTTCAGGCGGAGGAAGAAGAGGAAGAAGCTGCAGAAGATGCCGAAGACGCAGAAGATTCAGAGGATGGGGAGCCTGCGGCAAATCGGAAGCCGGCAGAGGATGCAGCGGTTCAGGCGAGGGAAGAAGAGACAGAAGAAGCCGCAGTCGGGAAAGCGGACATGGCGTCAGATTTGGCAGCTGATGCCAATCCATCGGAAAACATGGACAAGGCGTGGAGGGTGTCACATGGGTATGGGTCAAAGTTAAACCACCAGGGGACCGCAGGTTTTAGTCCATGTTTCCTTTCACCATGGTTCCATTTTTGGGTTCCCCTATGTTTGACCCACGGCCACATGAGCAAGGGGGGTGGAGAGGCTCGACGCCATTCAGGTCATGCTGCAGGAAGACTTCACAAGACAGGGGAAGTTTAGGGATTGGCGGCGCCCGTTGTCTCCTTTTCGTTTGCTGGGTCGCCCACGAGAATTGGTCAACCCCATGTTTTTGTTTTTTCCGGGTCAGCGAACAAAGCGATGACGCTTCAGCTGGCAGGCGGCTGATTTCAATGACACCGAGACGGATGAGGAGCTTTATGCTTCTAAAAGTGCGGCAGCTCGGATGGATTTGTTTTGTGATTGTGTGTGTTGGGGCCGTCTTCGTTGACTGTTTTTGTGTTTGGTTTTAAGGTCAGAAGCTGGGGTCGTTTCCCTTTGACCCAAAACTTAGGGGGTGACTCTGATCATGGTAAAATACTTGGCCAGTTGTGTACGGCTTGATTTGCCCCTTTCGGCAAACTCAGGCGGCAACACCCAGTATTGGGGCGAGTCGTTTGATGGGATTGGTTGCTTGAGGTTTCTGGGTGACCGGGGGATGCGTCAAGCGTGCGCAAAGGCAGCTGTGAACATCTCTCCCCCAGTCATTGCCACGGCGGAGGATGCTAGCGCGGAGGATGCCAGCCCAGCAGAGGATGCGGACCGGGCCGAGACTGAAGATGTTGAGCGCCCTGAGAAATTTGATGCCCAGATTGCTGAGAAGCTTGCAGAGGCTGAGGACCCTGAAGAGGCTGAGGAGGCTGAGGAGGCTGAGGAGGCTGAGGAGGCTGAGGAGGCTGAGGAGGCTGAGGAGGCTGAGGAGGCTGAGGAGGCTGAGGAGGCTGAGGAGGCTGAGGAGGCTGAGGCCGAGAATGTGGCTGAGGCCAAGGATGCTGAGGAGGCTGCGGACGCTGAGGCCGAGAATGTTACAGAGGCTGAGGCCAAGGATGCTGAGGAGGCTGAGGAGGCTGAGGAGGTTGAGGAGGCTGAGGCCGAGAATGTGGCTGAGGCCAAGGATGCTGAGGAGGCTGCGGACGCTGAGGCCGAGAATGTTACAGAGGCTGAGGCCAAGGATGCTGAGGAGGCTGAGGCCGACAATATGGCTGCGGACGCTGAGGCCGAGAATGTTACAGAGGCTGAGGCCAAGGATGCTGAGGATGCTGAGGAGGCTGAGGCCGACAATGTTGCAGAGGCTGAGGCCAAGGATGCTGAGGAGGAGGCTACCGATGCTGAGGAGGCCGAGGCCAAGGATGCTGCGGAGGCTGAAGATGCTCCCGTGCTTGAGGCTGCCGCAGAGGACGGGGACAAGCAGGGCCTGTCGTTGTCAAAGCAGCCTGCTGGGGTGAGACAACAGGCGGAGCGCGCCAATGCAGAGAGTGAGCAGGCTCACCTGGCCAAATTTAGTGCATATGTAGATTAACATATATATATATATATGTAGATACATGCGTGTCTCTTTTCAAGGTAACCGGGCATAAACAATTGCTAGGTGTCTACTCCTAAGATCATGACTAAATGTTTTGTTTTCAGTACCCCACGACCCCATCTAATTGTTTAGTCCCTTGTATTGCCCTTCTCGGCTTGCTTCAAAGGTCCCTTGGGATGGTTGGCCTCAGCTGATCCTTCGCCAGTTGCAGCACTGTTATGACCGCTTTCTTACTCTTTCTTCACCTGCGTCTCCAAATGTGTAGGACCTCGAAAAGGTGATTGCTTTTGTTTTGAGTCTCCCTTCAACCCCACACAAAATATCCCAGTTGCCCAGTGCTGTCCTTTTGTTTCTTCTTTTTTTGGCAGGGTTCCCTTAAAAGTCTACCAAGCAAACAGGGATGCCCGTGTTTTCCCCGTGGAAATCCATTGGGCATCTGAGACAAGGACCGCCCACCGGCCGCCGGCCGCCTGTCGAAGGCCCAGCCGGTCTCGAAGGAAGCGCGAGAGGCGCGTGGCGTGGTTTTCCAGCAGAGCTCGGCGTGTGGCGAGTCTCCAAATCGGGGCACCCGGTTTTTTTTTGGCTTGTTTAATAGACGTTTTGAGTTGAAGGTCAAAACTCGGGGCACCCGTTTTGGTCTCTCTTGTGTTAATGGGAAGCCAAAAAATGGAAACCACCTGGAGGAATCGGTCCCCAATTTTGAAGTTGAAGGCTAGTAGGGGACACCCGCAGCAAAAAAAGAAGGGCGGATATCCCGTGCAATTCTTTGGCATGGGGGGGGGGAAGGGGGGAAGGGGAGGAATCGGTCCCCAATTTTGAAGTTGAAGGCTAGTAGGGGACACCCGCAGCAAAAAAAGAAGGGCGGATATCCCGTGCAATTCTTTGGCATGGGGGGGGGGGGAGGGGAGGAATCGGTCCCCAATTTTGAAGTTGAAGGCTAGTAGGGGACACCCGCAGCAAAAAAGAAGGGCGGATATCCCGTGCAATTCTTTGGCATGGGGGGGGGAGGGGGGGGAGGTGGGGCTTGCAAATGCATGAAGGGCTTTGGTGTTTGCTATTCCGTGGGTTCCTGGTTCCTGTTTGTGAGTTGTTGTGCTGCAAGGGTGATAAACAATGCCTTTGCTATCGCGATATCACTTTTTGCGATATCACTTTGTAAAACGAGCTTATCATGAAGGTTCTTTACTTGGTCCATTTCTTATTTCGGGTTTTGGACATGGACGTTGGTGATGGCTTTCGTATCACAGAGCTTCGGCCCTTTCTACAAGAAGCACAGATGCGAGGCATTGTTGGCGTACTTCAAATGACCCAAGCTGGTTGGTCCACGTTTGAGTTCCCTTGCCATCCAAGGGCAGGGGTTCCAAGACGGAGCCCTTCGGAGGTGCATTCCCTTTGTCCCTTTTCGAAGGAGCTGATGCTTTGATGGCAGTCGTTGGGAGACCCGGACTGTTGCCTTTGAGCTCTCAGACACGGACGTGTGCCTTGTGCAACGAACACGTTTTGAGGGGTTCGCTACAAAGATCGTTTTGAGGGGTCGCGCAATGTGGATCTTTGTAGCGAACCCCACAAAATGTGTTTGTTTGCGTGTTTGTTTGTTTGTTTGTTTGTTTGTTTGCTTGTTTGCTTGTTTGGTTGGTTGTTTGTTTGCTTGTTTGCTTGTTTGGTTG